GTTTGACGAAGCAGACCCTTCATACATAACAAAATAAGTGAAGTTTGGAATCTGATGTCACAATTTTAAGATAATTGCTCAGAATATAATTATCCAAAGCACAGATATATACTAATCAGTTTAATATTGGAATTGTTATTTATATAAGACCAGATTTTTTTAAGGGATTTAGGTACTTAACCCATATTGCACTTGTCTCTTTTATTATAATACTACATCCATCTTTTGGAGTCATACTTAATAGGACTGAACTGATACATAACATTTTGTTGCTGTTCTGGAATAGTTAAGATGATGCAACTCCTAAGACTTTTGGAATATCTTGGTTATCAGGTAGTCAAGAGTTGCACATGTGCTTTGGAAGACTCAGTCCCCTTTAATACTGTCCCCCTTCACTCCACTAGAACTGTACCCAGAAGGGGTACACTCCTTAAAAAAGGTTGAAAACCCCTGCCCTGGAGCATTACAAAGACTAGCTGTCTAGCACTCGTATTCAGGTTAAGGGTCTGGTCCCCTGAAATGCTGTTGTTACATATCATGCCACTTTTGATGGAAACCCTGCTACAGGACTCCCCAAGAATAAATCTTATTTTCTTTCCTTTTCCCCAAGCACCCTTTGAGGCCAGCCCTAGCATGGCTTCTCGAGAGGCAGTCCTCTGGCTTCAAGACTCTGGCTGTTCTCTGTCCCTGGCTTCTCTGATGATCTTTAGTACCCCCACTTCAGAGCTCCTTTTTTTGATCAGCTGTGAAAGGGGTTTTTTCCTTGCTTCAAGAGGGAGAGGCTAGGGGTTAGTGCCAGTGTCCCAAGCAGTACAGCAGAAAGCTTCACTCCAACTGTCTTTATTGTGCGAGTGCAGTTCCCTCTGTCCTCCCTTGCAGTCCACTCTGTCCTATCTGGACTGTTCTTTCTGCTCTCTTTACTGTCTGCCCTGGGACTTTCTTTGCTCCCCAGCTCTCTGAGCCTCACTTTTTTTTTTTTCCCCCGTCCAAGGCAGCCAGCCACACTCAGAACTGTTACAGAACTATAGTATTAACCTGGGGACATCACTCACCCAGTAAAATGAAACAGTGTCATTGGGAACAAATCAAGGAGCAATCTCCAGGCCTTGCTGCTAGGCTCAGACTGCTGTCTTCTTTTGGGGTGCAAGGGGCATCTGTGTGTCCTACTTATGAAACTATTTACAGCAAAGCATGTTCACACTGACCCCTTCCCTCCCCAGTGTTCCCCACCACAAATGCAGCCTAGAAGTCAGCCCATGGCCTTTTTGGTCACAGTAATACTGCTATGCTGTAGTATACCTAAATTGTTAAATTTAATCTTCACTTCTGCTAATTAAAAGCAGATTTCTAGCCTTCTACTATCTCTGCAACCTTGCAAATAAAACTCCTTCAAAAATTCTGTATCAGTCTAAAAATGTGTAACAGGTGCTCTAGAGCTGATTAATCGCTCATTCAAAATGAGCTGATAGAAATATAGAAATAATTACTATACATGGAGTGGGTTTTCTGTAGACTTCTGTTACACTGATGACTTGTTATCTAATCCAGACTAAAGTTTTAGGTACTTCAAAGCGTTTTTCGTTTTGCACAGCAGCAGATTAAAAGGTTGAAAAGCACATTGGAGAATGCCAAAGGCGTTGTTATCTTTCCTTGGAAGAGATAGTTTAAACAGAGTTTTCTCAGTTTAATAGATTTTTATTGTATTTTAGATGTTATGTTTTGCTTTGCCCTGAGTTTTTCAGAAATGGATGTCAAGTGCTTTTTAAATAAATTTATTTTATGGACTATCATACTGTTTTAAATAGATTCTCAAATTTTTTACACTGAACTCCCAAGGAATTATCTGCTGGGAGAGAGACTTAGCACATGTTAAAACGACTGTTAAAAGATTTTTTTTCACCAAAATCACCAATTGTTGGCCTGGCCTTTTCATTTTGAAACAGGCATGTTTGAAGTGAAAACTTCAGTAATTGTTACGTCCACCTTTTTAGGGCCAGTGATGATAGACTCCCCAAACAGGTTGGTGTGATGTAAGGGCAGATGGAGAATAGCAAGCTGCTTGAACCCAGGTTCTCAGAAGCATCAGGTCTCCTTCACAGTGCCCCTTTGGAGCGGACATGAATGTGCACTTTCTAATTCCTGTTTCCCCCCAGCCCCAAAAAAATGGGACCATAATGACTTAAAGCCACTGTTTTGGTTTGTCCTGTTAAATAAAAGCTGGAATCAGTAGAGGCCTTGTAATGGAGATCAGAAAATCAGACTGAAATGATTGTCCTTTTTCAGTTGGATGCAGTATATCTTTAGCAGCAGTGTAATATATGAACACATAGTTTGGAAATTAGTAACTGCATCTTTTTTTATATAATCTAAGAGACTGTAAATTGTAAAAAATGATACTAATTCCAGAATAATTCCTTTGCTGCTTTACTGACTGGCTGAGGGAGATATTTATCTTATGACTTAGTGATAGGTAGTATACCACCAAGAGTAAGTTTTCTTTCAGGTATAATTATTTCCTAGTTGCATTTAGTAGTTCTGTGAAGGCCTAAAATGACAGGTAGAAGAAACATTTTTTTACATTCAGAAACTTTTTGTCAAAATCTTGTTTTCAAATCTTCATCCAGATTTGCCATTTGATACAATTTTAAGACCCTATAAACCATACTGATAAATGCCTTCTTAAACTCCAAGTATATTAATTAAATTCAGTAAACTTTTTTCACTAAATGTTGTTGTGTAGAATTGAATGAATCAGTTTTTCAATGTAAAGCATTTAAGAAAACCAAACTGGAGTAACTTCCTTATCTTGGCTTTCAAGCTTCATCACTCTATTTAATACAAAATAAAGTTTAGACAAAGGAAATCAAATATACACAACTGAATGTGATTTAAACCACATTTTAATGACTCTGTGGGCCAAGTGAATATGGATTATATTCCAGGATTGTTTTCAATAATAGTGTTACCATAGAAACTAATGCATATGCTTGCTTAAGAACCCTCTGCACACTTGATGTATGGCTGCAGTATGCTGAGAGAGCTTTTACTGTGTTAACTTAATTTTAATTTTGTAATCTTTTTTGGACTTTTTCACCCACCTCCCTTAGATGTTTTGTATGCGTCCCATTACCACAACCCCTATTTCCCTCTGAATCCTATTATTTGTTTCTTTCACCCTTTAGTCAGGCAGATATAATGCAGAACTTGCTCCACAGGGGCTAGAGGAGAAAGGGTCGATTTAGACATGAAGAGACCAAGTGATGGCATAAGGATGAAACAAAGAGGTTGACTTCTACAAAAAAGACCCAAAAACAAACCTAACAACTGGTTTTGTGCTTCTGAGAGTTCAGAGCAGTTTTGGTTTCTGTAGTGTAGCAATTGTGAGTAGGATACTGCACTGGGACCCAGGAGATCTAGGCTGAGTTCTTGGCTCTTCCACATTCCTTTAGGCTCATGGGTACAAGTCACATAATCTCTCTCTTCTCCCATCTTTAATCTGCTTAGGTTGTTAGATTGTCAGTGTAGGAACTGTCCCTTGCTCAATGTTTGTGCAGTGTCTAGCACAGTTGGGCCACTGTTTTTATTGTGGTCTCTAGGAGTTAGTTTTAACCATAATAATAATAAACCTGCTGCAGAAAAACACATTATTTTGTTTGTATCCTACTGTAGGCACTGTGTGTAATTCTTGGTAGGAGTGGCCCAAGTAGTGCAGTGAAGTCAAACCCACAGTCTGGTCCTTTTACAGGTTTTGAAATTGATGTTGTTGTGTTGGAGCTTTTCTTAATTGCATGTGCAGGTGCATCCTCAAAAAACTGGCCTTGGAAACGCTGAAGAAATACTTCTCTCTGACCACGTGGATTTTTTTGTCCAATCGGCAGCTGGCTCTAGAAATATTATTCTGTTAATCCTGAAAGGAGAATAACTTTTCTTCCAACACCAAGAGAAGTTCCTTAGGTCAGGGGTCAGCAGTGTATGGCCCTCAGAATCATTGGATTGAGCCTGTGGACCCAAGGAGGGTACCAAGGGAGTTGAGCAGCAGGGGCATTGCCTGCACCGTGCTGTGGACAGATGGCAGGGGGCTTTGTCGCGGCCAGGCAGTGCAGCAACTTGCCTGTGCCGCAGCCAGGCGGTAGGGAGAAACAGTGGCAGCAGCCGGGTCCTAGTGCCAGTCCATTTCAGATCCAAACCGGGTAGTTTTAGCCCACTGCAACAGAGTTTGCGAACAGCTGACCTAGATGACTCTGGAATGCTGTTCCAATGAAAATAAGTCTAATGTATAGAGTAGGGCCTCTTGGCCATATCTTGTGCCTGGAGCCCATACATGTGGTCTATTTAACTTGAGCATTTGGAGATTATATATCCCAAAGCTCATTTTGCCATTTTGAAGAACGTGGCTTTCGGTTGGGTTCTGGCTTTATAATAATGAAAATATTTTTTGCAGTGTCAGGTCGCAACGTACAGTTTGGGCCCAAATACTTCCTAAATTATAGAACACAACAAAGGGGCTTCAAATTCACTACAGAATATTACCAAGGCTTCCTTCTAGGGGGCAAAGAGCAAACATCTCTATAAGAATCAGTTTAGTCCAGGGGTGTGCAAAATGCGGCCCGGGGGCTGGATGTGGCCCGCCAGGCCATTCTATCAGCGACCCTCCGCCCAAAATAATTGCCTGCCCTGGTTTAGTCCATTCCATGCTATTCAGGGTCTTATAAAGCCTCCATCCTCACTGGCATCTGAGTGCATGCAGTGGTTTAAGTGAGTTGACTCATTTGCTGCATTTGGTTGTTTCTCCATTTCCCTCTTTATGAGGAATATTTCATGTGTGGTTTTTGTTGTTTTTTAAATTTATTTTAATTTTGTTTATCTGTGAAATACTGCAAGCTCTTGTCGGTGACTATCAGTATACCTTTCATATCATCAGCAAAGACACAGATAACACTGCTACTGTCCAAATATTTAACAAGTGACTTAAATTTCATTATGCTTTTTCATTTAAACAGGATACAATTTTGGCAGAATTGCTTCAGATCCATAAAGAACACATAGTGGGCTACCATGAACATGACTCGCTCCTGGACCACAAAGAGGAAGAAGAATTGACTGAAGAAGAAAGGAAGGCAGCTTGGGCAGAATATGAAGCTGAGAAGAAGGTAAAGTTGGATGCATTAGCTTTAATAATATCTGTGAAATGTTTTTAGCTTTTTACATTTTCTAGCTTTTAAAAATAATGTAATTTTTAAAAAGCTTTTAAAATAGCTCTGTGGTAGGCTTGAGGTTCTGAGTAATGCTCTGTGAAACGACAAGTTTAAATACCACCTCTCTGAAAGCAAACTGTGAGGTATGAAAAGGTTCCTTTGTGGTTTGCCATTTTGTTGCAGGCTTTTATGTGTATATGCTTCAAGCTACTTCTGTTTGATTTTAACACATTTTACCATTTTCTTTTTTGATTTGTAGTTTTTACATTTTATGTTAAACTCTAACTGGAGCTCTTTATAATTCTGTGTTTTGAAAATATAAGGAAAATCTCTAGCTCTATTAATAGCTGCTTAAAAAAGGAGAAAAAATGAGTTTGACATTTAAACCAAACCCTGATATCCCTTCCACCTCCGTCCCTTCCCTACTTCCCCCCAAGAAAAAAAATTGAAAAGAAAAGAAAACAGTCTTATTGAGGGATAAGTACAGACCAGAATTAGTCTGGACATTTTGTAAGAAATATTGTTCCTGTCCCACTTCAAGACAAGTGTTCAGCAGAACAATCGTGATATGTAAGACTTGACTTCATTTAAAGATGCAGGAAAAGGATAATTCTTCTTCAGAATTAACACAGGCTAAAATTACATAGGTATTCTGGCTAAAATTACATAGGTTTGCTTTATGACATAAATGGTGCCTGTGAAAACTCCTATTATATCTGGCTTGTTCAGTTGTTTTCTTGCACAGTATTTCACTGTGTATCCTGAAGGAAAGTGTTTACTATATTGGCTCACATCAGATATTTTAAGGGGAAAAAACAAGTATTTATCTTTTGCTATTAGCAAGAGGTGGAATTGTTTGTTTCTGTATAGAGACATGGTTGCTTTGCCACCCCTGTTCAGGCCCTGCAGTCATCAAGGGTCCCCACAATTTGGAAGAGAAGCATGCTTGCGTATTTTGCTAGCATTTTTTAGCCAGGCATGCCTTGCCTGTCTCTTGCTTTGCCATGTATTTTGTTTGAATATTTTGGGGGATTTTTTTTCTGCCTCAGTGACTTCTTGATCTTATCGTTTTTATGTTTATTTCAACTGTGGGATTGTATATTTGAAACCTATTCCTTGCAAGGGGTCTTTCATGACTAGAACTTGATGTACAGTATTTCTTTCAAGGCAGGTTGATCCTGTTCATCCAGTTTTTTCTGTATTCCATCAGTTGATTCATTTTGGAAATCCTTGCTCTGTTGCTTCTATAGTAATGGGTGTTTTTCTAGCCAAAATACGTAATACTTTATCTATCTCATAATACTTTGCCAAAATCAAAGACATTGGGATTGAACATGAAAATGCAGGTTTTAACAAGGTAGATCCAGCAGTATGCATGCTGGATTGTGTTATGTTAGTCCTTTTCACTGTAGACTTGTGTAAGGCCTGAACAAGAGCACTCCATCTGGCAGTTAGTAGTGGCTGTCATGATGGAATTCCAGCTTTACTCCTTCATTTCTTTCCTTTGTTCTTTTCCATTCTCTTGGGTCATCTTTTTCTTTTCTGTGATTGTTCCCACCTTAAGCCTGTATTTGGTAAGGTGTCATTCTCCCTTCTATATGCATGCCCTAGCGATATTGAGCTCTACTCTTTTACGTATTTAGCCATAGATCATTAAGCCAATTTTCTTTCATGCCTCTTCATTCATTACTTTTTCAGGTCTAAATATTATTGTTGTTCCCCTCCAGCAGCTTTTCTGAAATGTTTCTAACGTATGCATGATCTTAGAAATCCTCCTTCAACGTTCAGATGCATACAGTAGCTCAGTTTCCATACTGATGTATATTTAAAGTATGGTTTTCGGTTTTGCCTTTTCAAAGTCTTTCAAAGTGATACGAAGACTTTGTTTGATTTACTAATTCTGATAAGTGTGTTTCTCTTGCTGTCTACATCTGCTGCTATCGTACTGGCCAAATATTTAAGTATTTCTTCTCTTATTGTGTTTATATCAAACACATGCACATAAACTGGACCCTCAAATTATCTCAAGCCTTAGTAGTAAGGCCTATATGTTAAAAAAAAAAAAAAAAAAAAAAATCTGTTTTTATCAGTTTAATCGCTGATATCGTCCTCGATTTGAGGACTGACGCATTAAACGCATTTTTGGTGCCGGGAGCGGGTCTCGGAGCTTGCTCCAGTCCCTCCACGCATCGG